GCTGAGAAACGTCTCGTGAGTATGGTGTGCCTCAAACGGCTTTGGGCTCTGACTTGCTCTGTACAGGAAATCACAGGGTCTTCCCAGCATCTTGATAAGCCTTACTACATCACCAGCTGTCACTCTAGCTCCTGCAGACATCCCCCACTTTAGAGGGCAGAGGCACGTCCTCTGGAGTCACCTGATCCCAGGAAGGCTAGCCTCCTTCAGCACAAGTCTGCTCTCCAGCCCCAGAAAGAAGAATGAAGGAAAGGTAAGGATCTATCAAGTGCTGCCTTATTTCCAAAGCCAGTTATAGTTTTTGCTCTAAATTCACATCCACATGTTTCTACCTTGGGGTGGGATATGCAGGGGCCATAGTGCTTCCTTCAGGAAAAGACAGGCCTGAAGCTCCTTACGACCATCTTTGGGGCTGGCAGCCTCCATTTTATGAGATTTGAATGGGCTCAATCAGGACCTTTCTCCCTTTTAACCCATCTCCCTCTATTTTCTCCTTTATTCCAACTTTTGAAATCTGTTGCCATGAGGAAAATACTGCCTCTTACATTAGTTTAGGGGGCATGGTAACAGGCAGGCATTGCTCCTCAGAGCTGAATTGTTGCCAAGTTTTTGCTTTTCAAAAGTTTTTCCTTTGTGTATCTAGCAGGGTCCCAGGATGGATGAGATGGCCCAAACTGGAGTAACTGAGGAGTGTTTACAAAGATGGGCAGGGTTAAGGGAAAATTACAGTGCAAGGTGAAGCACTCTAACAAAAAACAACAGCTGTTTCCATTCCTAGGCTTAAAGGGATGAGGGGAAGGCACAGCTACCAGGACACGAGAGACCTGTATCTGTAACTGTAACTGTACCTGTAGGAGAGGCAGTAAGAATAGCACTGCCACTGTCAACTCACAGCCTAGCAGGGAGAGAACCTGGAAAATAAGAACCCCGAATTGCCCTCCAGTCTCCTGGTGGTGCCTCCCAGTGCCTCAATTCAACCAGAAACCAGAAGGAAGAGGATTCCATTGAGGTGGTACTTAGAGTCAACCCCTTGGAATATCAAACAGGCTTGAGAAAGTTGGAAGGAGATCTTCATGGCAAATGGAGACTATCACATTGTGTTGAATATTATCCTTACAGTTTTTCACTGGCTGGGTTTTCTCTTTCTCACTGTCATTCAATCAATTGCTCACCTTATCTCTACCAGAGATGTTTTGCTTTATTGTCCCCTTGTTTGTAACTTTTTTGTCTGGTGCCATTTTATGGAGCAATTTCCCACATTCATCAAAAATATCTTGAAAATGGAATGTAATATAAAAAGGGAAAAGATATCTTGTATTGATTAGAGCATAAATTTAGATGCTTTAATACAGACCTATTGTATTAATGACCTGAACAGAGAGTTTATTAGACCTGGACTGGGGGTTCCAAAGGTGTCAGACAGGCATCAGGCTTCCTTCCAACTTGCTGCTCCTCCAACCCTAGAATGGTGCCCTCATCCTCTTGGTCTCAGATGGCTCCTGCCACAGCAGCATTCCAGACAGGAGAAGAGGAAGAGGCAAAGGAGAGGCCATGGTCCTTCCATTAAAGACCTTAACCCAAGGGTTGGTCACATCACTTCTGCTCACCTCCTATGGGCCAGAGTCTAGTCACATGGTGCCATGTAGCATCAAAGAAGACTGGAAATGAGGTCTTATTTCTCATCCAAATATCTCAGAATCATTATGACAACAGAGAGGACAATGGATGTTGAGGTAACCAGCAGTCTCTACGTCCATGACTTTCCCTCTGATTCTATGCTCATATGAAGATTTTTCTCAGAAGCTCCTCACACATAATAAATGATGCAGCACAAAGCAGTGCCAAAACCTTGGACAGGGCTCCAGGATCCCAGGAGCTAGTATTGATCTACTATTCACTGTGGCATCTGAAGAAAATCTCTTTGATTGTTTAAGCCTCAGTTTCTTTCTCTGTTAAATAATAATGTTGTAAAACATGGCCTCATAGAGCCATGGGCTGGAGGCTGGGGATACAAAGGTAAACAAAAGAAGGCATGATTTAGGCTTTGGGGAACTTCAGGTCTCATGAGGGAGACAAATATATAACACTGTGAAAAATAGATTGACAAACTGTGTTGAGTGCCCTGAGTGAGGACAACAGAGTTCTGTTCTCCCCCATCTCCTCTTCTGGCCCAGTTGGAGCTGTGGGAGCTTGTCTCTCTAAGAGAACAAGTGATGAAAACACACAGTCCTGATGCCTCTCATTGCCCACAGAGGAGACAACGTCCTCTCTCTACCTAGAGACTCCTGCCCTGTGAGTCCTCTACACTCTGGAGTGATGGCTTTCTCATTTGTTCCCTCTTTGATTGGCTTCTTTTCCTTACTGTTTCTGGAGTTTGCTTATGTTAGATATATATATATATATATATATTTTTTTTCTCAATCCACAATTTTGACTGCTGTTGTGGATTTAGTTTAGGAGTTACTTTTCTGCTTTTCTCCCCTATCCATGTATGATTGACACTACATTGGTCATGGGTCCACAGGGCTGATTAAAACCTGCACAGACCTGCTGGGTTCAAATCCCCACTGACACCAGGGGCAAATCATGCTTCCCCTTTTGTGCTTCAATTCCATGCTTATAAAATGGGAATAATACTAGTTCTTACCTCAAAGGGCTCTTGAGAGGATTAAAGCAGAAAGTACCTCATTAAGCACTACCTCAGCCAGATGCTATCATTCACTCAGAGATGAATTAGTCTTTTCTCCAGCTGAAACCTGCATGAGCATTTCTTCCTGCATTCTAAGTCTTGCACTTACTCTATTTCTCCTCATAGAATCCTCACACACAAAAGCTTTAATCAACGAAGCAAACTCTACTAAGATTTCCTGGGAGAGATAATAGAGTGGGTTTATGTTGATAAAGAGCAAAGGTATCACTCTGAAGACTAAGGTTCTCCAGAACCAAGCCATGGTATTTTCAGTAGCTTCATATGCATGTTAAACCTGGACAATGAATAAGGAAGACTGAAGAAGAATGGATACATTTGAATTGTGGTGTCGGCAAAGGGTATTGAATATACCATGGACTGCCAGAAGAATGGGAGCTCTGGTGGCGTAATGTCTAAGGCATTTGACTGCCAACCAGAAGGCTGGTGGTTCAAACCCACCAGCCACTCCTCAGGAGGAAGGTTGGGCAATCTACTTCTGTAGTGATACCTCCTCCAAAACCCAAGGAGGTGTCTCTATGAGTTGAACCCGACTCGATGGCAGTGTTTTTTTTTTGGCTTGCCAGAAGAACAAACAAATCTGCTTTGGAAGAGTATGGTCAGAATGCTCCTTAGGGGTGAGAATGCCCAGACTTAGTCTTATGTACTTTCGTCATGTCGTCAGAAGGGCAGTTTCTGGAGAAAGATGTCATGCTTGGTAGAATAGAGGGCCAGCGAAAAAGGGGAAGACCCTCAATGAGATGGATTGGCATAGTGGCTGCAACAGTGGGCTCAAGTATAGCAATAACTGTGAGGACAATGCAGGACTGGACAATGATTTCTTCTGTTGTACATAGGGTCCCTGTGAGTCGGAGCCAACTTGATGGCACCTAACAACAGCAATGTTGCACACAACTGGTCACACCAATTAATAGTCCCCACATAGATATTCCCATAGTTCAAATACTTCTTTTAAGTGGCGCTCAGACTTCATCCTCACTTACTGCTTCCTCCTCTATATTGTTGTTGTGTGCCGTTGAGTTGATTCTGGCCCATAGCAACCCTATAGGACACAGTAGACTGTCCCATAGAGTTTCCTAGGCTGAAATCTTTATGGGATTAGATTGTCAGGTCTTTTCTTCTGTGGAGCTGGTGGGTTCAAACTGCTGACATTTCCATTTGCAGCTGAGTGCTTAACTGTTGCACCACTATGGCTCCTTTCCTCCTCTATATTGCTGAATAATTTGGCACAGCCCAAAATCCTACCCCCAAACTGAGTACCAAGATTCCTCTAGGTACTTAGCAAAGTCACATTGAAGTCCTCATTTCTTCAAAGGCACATCATCAGTCAACTAAAGTTATTGTGGCACACATAAGTAATTCTAAACACGCAGAGAATTTTCCACAAGAATTATGATGAAAGTTTCTTCATCTTATTATGCATATGTATTACAATGTCTGTAATTTTGTTTAACATTTAACCCAAATCTTCCACTACCCTTGTTGTTTTTGTTATGTGCTGTTGAGTTGGCCCTGACTCGTAGTGACCCCTCCTTGGGTTCCACTACAGAAGTAGGTTGCCCAACGTTTCTTCCGAGGAGTGGCTGGTGGGTTTGAATCACCAGCTTTCTGGTTGGCAGTCAAATGCCAACCACTTTACACACTGGACCATTTCTAACCCATCAGCCCTGGCTGTCCTCACATCTGTCCTGACAAAGGTGATATTCCCCTTACCTCTCGAAAGCATATCTTTTTCCTTGGTGAATGGACTACTGTTAGTTCTGGAAGTGGCCCACGGTTGTCTCTGTGTCTTTCTGACTTCCTGTTCCCAAGAGGAAATTTCTAGTCTATGACAGAAGTAATGCTTGGGCCTCTCCTTGTCCCCCAGATCCCATCCTAGACGTTTCTCCTCATACCTCAAGAAATTCTGGGAGATATGACATAATCTCTGGACAATGAGTGGTGGTTGGGGCATTGGGATGAACAGGTTACAAAATATTTGCATGTCATTAGAAACACCTGTGTTGTGGTAGAGAGCATCCAGTCTTTAGCATCAATGAGAACTGAGTTCCAAGACTCTCCAGTCTTTGATAAATTACTTAATCTCTATAAGCCTCCATTTCTCTTCTCTGTAAAATGAGGACAGGAATATCCATATGATTGTGAGAATCAATGATCTAATAGTAGGTGCTCTAATCTTATTTGCTTTTCCAGTGCCACCAGTGGAGGATTTCTGAATACGGACCCAACCATCTGAGGAACTGAACTCACAACAATGAATGGAACTGATGGAGCTGTTCTCCTAACTTATGACATGGAGATACTGATTCTAAACTTGCTGGTCTTTATCATTGTCCTGGTTGGGCTGGCTGGGAATGCATTTGTGCTCTATCTCTTGGGCTTCCAAATGCAGAGGAACCCCTTCTCAGTCTACATCCTCAACTTGGCTGGTGCAGACTTCATTTTCCTGTGCTGCCAGGTTGTGTATTTCCTGTATACACTCATCACCTTTTTCCATTCCATCTCCACTTCAGTCCCCTTCTTCAATGTGATGTTTTTTTTTCTACATCACAGGCCTGAGCATTCTCAGCACCATTAGCACTGAACACTGCTTGTCCACCCTGTGCCCCATCTGGTACCACTGCCACCGCCCTAAGCACACTTCACCTGCCATGCGTGCCTTCCTCTGGGCCCTGTCCCTGTTGCTGAGCTTCCTGAAAGGAAACTACTGTAGACTCCTATTTAGTGACTTTGACTATGATTGGTGTCAAGCGTTTGACTTAATCACTTCTTCATGGCTGATGTTTTTATTTATAGTTCTGTTTGTGTCCAACCTGGCCCTGCTGGTCAGGATGCTGTGTAGCTCCTGGAGGATACAGCTGACTAATTTCTACATAGTCATCCTCATTACAGTGTTTATTTTCCTTCTCTGTGGCTTGCCCTTGGGAATCCAGTGGTCTATAGGGGTCTGGATTCAGCATGATTACTATGTGTCCTCATATTTTCTTAATTGGATTATGGATATTTTGCCTAGTGTGAACAGCAGTGTCAAACCCATCATTTACTTTTTTGTTGGCTCCTTTAGGCAGCAGCAGCAGCAGAGCCAGACCCTCAAGTTGCTCATTCAAAGGGCTTTGGAAGACATTCCTGGAAGGAGGAGAAGTGGAGAAAGCCTTCCTCAGGAGACTATGGAGATATTGAAAGCTGTCTCACATAGTGATTCTGTATCAGTCAGGGCTCAATCAGAGAAGTAGTACTTTAAAGAATGTATATCATACCTATGTAGATACTGTGCAAGAATTGCTGCTGTTGGTCTGATGCTGGAGTTTGAAGCCTGCAGAGAAATCTAGAACTCATAAGCCCGAGGTAAAACCCATGAGAATAGATTAAAACCCATGTTAGTTTCTGGTTGCCTCCAAATTTGATGGTATGGGAGTTCCACATCATGGAGTTGACTTTCTTCATCATAGAGCTAAACACACACCCATACCAGGAGTCAGAGAAGTTAAAAGAGTATCTAAGTGAAGTCGGGGCAACTGCAGGCCCAGCTGCTGCCTCAAGCCAATGAGGGGTGCCAACAATACCCAACCACATGCATGAGCTGCCTGGCGCTGCACCAACCTTTCAAGCATAAAATTAAATGCAGAATCTGTTTCATTTCTAGCCACCAAATCTTGTGCAAAATGTCTCTTGGTGTTCACTCTAACCAGGAAATTAAAGAGGAGGGAATTCTAGTGAATGTAGTTCAAGCTAGCCAAGTTGATACTTTCAAACCCATCACTGTCTGCCCCTTGTCAATGTGGCACCCCTGTATAGCTCTTTAAGTCATAGTAAATTCCAAATAAAGACAATATCAAAGTCAAGTTTCTCCCTAACATGCTTTAATGGTTCCACAAACAACTGAAAATATCTTAACTCTTTTTCCCAAAAGAAGATAAAAGTCCCCTTTTCATTTTGGTGTTATACTTTTTTTTCCAGCGAGTTATACACCCCTTTTGAACTCCCGTAACTTAAACATTGAAATATAAAGTTAACTACTATTAATACATATTATATGACATTGTGAAGGCATAGGAGAGCAGAAGACAAATATTTGAGCAAAATATACACAAAAATATTCACAAATGCATTGTTTGTCTTTTTATACTGATTTGCTGGAGTACTTATATATACATGGGAGCTCTGGTGGCATTGTGCCTAAGGTATTTGACTGCTAACCAGAAGGCTGGCAGTTCAAACCCACCAGCCACTCCTTAGAAGGAAGACTGGGCAATCTACTTCTGTAGAGATACCACCTAAATTCCTTTGTTAAATTTATCTATTGGAAATATTTTTTTTCCCCAATCTGTGGCTTACCTATTCACTTTTAAAGTTTTTTGGTGAGCAGAAGTTTTATTTTTTGTGGATTCCAATTTATCAATTTTTTCTTTTATGGTTAGTGCTTCATGCACTGTAAGAAATCTGCCTACCTTCAAGGAAACAAAGGTGTTCTTCAATGTTTCCTTTTAGAAGCATTGTAACTTTTGCTTTTATGTTTTAATATATAATCTATTTCTAATTATTTTTTGAAGTGAGAGTTGAAGCTCATTTTTCCATAAAGTTGTCTAGTTGTTCCAGCATCAGTTGTTGAAAAGACACACAATTTCCCCCATTGAATTCTTTAGTCCTTGTCTGTCAAAACTTATCCTTGTAATTGTGGGACTATTTCTGGACTTTCTAATCTATTGTATTAGTATATTCCAGAGCTTGGCAAACTATAGCCTATGGGCCAAATCCAGCCTGCTGCCTGCTTTTGTAAATAAAGTGTTATTGGAGCATACCAATGCCCATTCATTTATGTATTGCCTGTGGATGCATCCTTCTAACATTAGTGAGTATTTGTGCCAAGGACTGTATGCTGCAAAGACTAAAACATTTACTGTCTTACTCTTTACAAAAAAAGTTTCCCAATCACTGGTCTAGTCTCACACCAACAGCCACTGTTCTGATGACTATGGACAAACATCTGAAATCAATGATACAGGCTTTCACCTTAAGATTTTAGAAAAAGTAGAGTAAATGAAACCCAAATAGATGAAGTAATGAAGATAAGAGCAGAAATCAATGACATAGAAAGCAAAAAATAGAAAGAATCAGTAAAAATATAAAAATAAATCTTTGAAATGAACAATAAAATAGACAAGCCTCCAGAAATAGCAATCAAGAGGAAAAAGAGATGACATAAATGACCAATATCAAGGGTGAAAGAGGGAAAGTAGAAAAACAGCATAGCCTTATAGCAAATTAATTTTCCAATTAAAATTTGTTCTGCAAAACAATTCCAGGTCCAAATGTCTTTGCTGGTGAATTTTATTCAAAGTTAATAAAGAAATAATACCAATCTTACACAAACTCATTCAGAAAATATGTGGAGGAGAAACACTTCTCAACTCAATTTATGGAATAATCATTACCCTGATAGCAAAACCAGAGAAAGATATTGCAAGGGGGGAGGGGGGAACAAAACTAAACCTAAAATCCAGTATTCCTCATGAACATAGGTGCAAAAATCTTTAACAAGATATTAGCAAATCAAATCCATAAACACATAAAATAGCATAACTTACCATGACCAAGTTGAGTATATTTCATGAGTTCAACATTAATTAAATATTCAAGAATCAATTGATAGAATTCAGTATATTAACAGAAAAAAAGGTGGGAAAATATATGATCATCTCAATAGATGCAGAAAAAACATGAGACAAAAGTCAACACCTAGTCATGATAAAAACTCTAGAAAAACTGTGAACAGAAATTAACTACTTCAGTCTGAAAGAAAGGAGGCTTCTATGAAAAAATTCCAGCTAACTTCATACTTTGTGATGAAAGCTTCAGTGTTTACCCCCTACCATCAGGAACAAGGTATGAAAAGTTCACTTTCAACATTTTCCAACATTGTACTAATGGTTCTAGCCAATACATTCAGGCAATTAAAACAATAAAAAGCACATAGATTGGAAAGGAAGAAGTGTTGCTACCTTTATCACTGAAAACTGAGCATGTAAGTAGAAAATCCTAAGTAATCTACTCCCAAAAAAGCAAATAAAACTAAAAAGTGAGTTTCACACTTTGGTGAGATGCAAAGTTGATATAAAAACTCAATAGCATTTCTACATACTAGCAGTGATCAAATGGAAAAGGAAATTTTTAAAAATACAGCCACTCCTCGGAAGTAAGTTTGGGCAATCCTAGTTCTGTAGTGATACTGCCTCGGAAACCCAAGGAGGGGTCCCTATGAGTCGGGGCTGACTCGACGGCACATAACAACAACAACAACATTCACAATAGCATCAAAAAATGTTAAATACCTATGGACACATTTAACAAAAATGTTCAAGACCTGCATGTTGTTCAGATCTACAAAATATATTGGAGAGAAATTTTAAAAGATCTACTTAAACAGAGAGATATAACTTGTCCAAATATTTCAGATCTCAGTACTAAGATATAAGTTTATCTTAAGGAGCCATGATGGTGCAGTGGTTAAGATCTTGGTGCTAATTGAAAGTTTGGTGGTTTGAACCCACCAACCACTCTGTAGTCTGCTTCCCTAAAGATGACAACTTTGGGAACCCTGTGGGGCAATTCTACTCTTTCCTATAGGGTCACTATGAATCAGAATTGACTTAATGGCCCATAAAAGTTTATCCCAAACTGCTCTGTAGATTCAATGTAATCTAAAACAAAATCAGTACCAGTTGGCCTTTTTGTGGAAATTAACAAATTGAATCTCAAATTTATATAAAAAATGCAAAAGATCCTGGACAGCCAAAATAATTTGAAGAAAAAGAACAAAGTTGGAAAACTTACTCTAACTGGTTTCAAAACTTCTGTAAAGTTACAGTAATCTAGACAGTATAGTGATGGCATGAGGTTAGAAATATAAATCAGTGCAGAATAGAGTCCAGATATAGACCCACACACATACGATCAATTGACTTTAGGCAAATATACCCAAGTAATTCAATGGAAAATTAGATTTTTCTACAAATTGTACCTGAACAACTAGATACATACATGGGAAAAAAATTAACTTCAACTCAAAAAATTAATTCAAATAAGAAATATAAAATTAAAACTAAAAATTTCAAGAAAAGAACATAAGATGAAATACTTCTGATGAAACTTGAAAACATCATGCTAAGTAACAGATGCAAAACACAACCAGCCACATGTTGTATGTTCTATTTATATGAACTGTCCAGATAGAAAAATCCATAGAGACAGAAAGTAAATGAGTGGTTGCCAGGGGGTGGTAGAAGGAAGGAATTGGGAGGTATAGAGTTTCTTTTTGGGGTAATGGAAATGTTCAAGACTTAGATGGTAGTGATGTTTTCACAACATTGCAAATATACTTAAAACTATTGAATTATACACTTTAAAATAGTAAATATGGTGAATTTCATGTTATATGAATTCTATCTAAATGAAAAAAGACTTATAATACCAAGTGTGAAGCAACTGCAACACTCATACAATGCCTGTGGTAACCTAGAACAATAGTAAAGCTGTTTCTTCTGAAGGTAAGTACACACTTACCATATGATTCAGAAATTTTATTCATAGATGTTTCCCAAAGATAAATTAAAACAGTCATCTACCCAAAGATGCTGATAGCAGCTTTATTCATTACAGCCAGAAATTGAAAACAACTCAAATGTTTAACAACAAGTGAATGGATAAACAACTTATGATATCGTCACACTTTGAAATAATATCAGCAGTAATAACAATAAACTGAACCATTTGACAACATGAACAAAACTCAAAGATTTTATTGAACAAACAAAAGACACAAAAGACTATTTACAGTAAGACTCCATTTATATAAAATTGTAGAAAAGAAAAAAACTCATTTATAATGACATAAAGTACATCAGTGAATACCAAGAGTGGTGGGATGGTGGTGGTGGTGGCGGTTCGTTTAACTACAAAGGACCAGGAGGAAACATCACATGATGTAAATGCTCCTTATCTTGATTGTGGGATACTTACATGAATGTACACATTTATCAAAACTCATTGAACTGTTCACTTGATATGGTTGCATTTTATCTTATGTATATTAGACTTCAAACAGTTGATTTGAAAGAAGTAGAAATAATAAAATCCCAACATAAAAACTGTCTTTTAAATGTATTAAACTCAGCCTTATTTATAAATAAAGAATGATAATAATTGTACATATCTCAGAAGGTGGTAAGGGAATTCAATGCTTAGAACAAGTAGTTCTAGTTAAGCGTTAGTCATTCTTGTTATTGTTATTATTATTTTAAGGGTTTTCTCTCTGTTAAACAATGGGACAATCCTCTGTGATCATCAAGTTTTCTGTGACTGTGTGTTATGTTTTAGGAAGGAACACAGTATTACACGGGAGTTGACATGTGGAGAACAGAAAGAAATGCATGGAAGCGGGGATTCAGGGGGCAGAAGTGACCATGAGAATGAGAACTTATTGCGTTTCCTCAGAAACCTGAATTACAAAACACAGCAAAAATATTCTAGAGACTAAGAAAAAGGGATAGTGAAGAAGAAAAGTGAAGCCAAGGACTAGGATACGTATAAGAGTCAAGATTCCTGTCCCCGCATTGTGACAGCTTCATATTTTGGCCCTCAGTTTGCTGAGGGGTAATGTGAAAGCCTTTTGCTAAACAAAAATCCCAATGTCCATGACATAAAATTAAATCAGAAACATAGAAATGCCAGTCATGATCTTGGGCACTGGCAAGTAAAGAATTCTCTGATTCTTCTAGAGAAGGGCCTTTGAAAAAGAAATTTCTCTGTCAAATCCAGTTAGTAAAATGCCAGAGAAGGATCCTAATTGGTCCAGCTTAGTTACAAATCCGTATCTGGTTCCACCATTAGGGCCAAGATTTGGGATGTGCTGATTGTCTCTGTATCCAGAAGGGAAAGTTATAGTTAGCAACAACAAAAACTGGACACTTAGACAACAGTTTTGAGCTGGGCATCCGCACCAATGTGTGTCTACATCACATTGTTTTTAGCATTTGCTGTACTGCACCTCTGTTATTTGGAGCCAATGTGAAACTTGGGCTAGAGCTACATTGCAAATTTGGCAGGACAGACAGCCATTTCAGTCCAGTCATCAGTGGATTGAATAAGTACTGGGTATCAGTAATGTCAAAGCAGTGTGACTGTGGGAGATGTACAAGTAAAGAGATAGTACTGGAGGGTGCTCTCTTAGAGAGCAGAGAGAGAGAGGTGAGTTATCAATAACTAGACAAGCACAGAGGGTGAAGGGAGTTAAGACTCAAGGTATGTGTGTGTGTGTGTGTGTGGGGGGGGGGCATAGCAAAGATGGATACAAACTATCTTCAGGAAAGGGCTAGAATTTGAAGGCAGATACACTTACTTTTATTCAGCACTTTGTCATTTACAAAGAAACTATCCTTTTTGATACTTTGATACTCATAACAATTGTAGGAAGGACATAAGTTTAAGACAAGAAGAATTTTGATGCGAAGAGATGAATACAAGGGTAAGCACAGAGTAAATGTCAGTCCAGGCACAGACACTACCTAGAGAATGACAACAATGATTGATTGGTATAGTCTGTGGAGTAGCTTCAGAAGAGTTCTCAAACCCTGGCCAGACTCAGTGTAACAAAGTTCTGTGATCCATTAATAACATCTACCATGGGCAGGATTTTGGAGGATGATACTAGAAGGAAGATGGGGCAATCTACTTCCATAGTGATACTGCCTCGCAAACCCAAGGAGGGGTTGCTATGAGTTGGGTCCCACACGGCACATAACAACAACAACAACAACAACAACAACCAGAAAATAGAAGTAGTGATAAATGAGGAAGGAAAGATAAGTAGGAGCAAGACTGTTAAATGTCAGAAGGTCTAAAAATTAATTAGACATTGTTTTCTTCAGTGACCAGAAGTTCCAAGATATATTTCCATTAAAGTGGGGCCTTGTACCAGACTATGTGACTTGCCACCACCCAGGTGCATAAAACCCTTGGGTCTTTAACAATTGAAAATAAACAATAAGGACCATTTTCATAACTCTTGTACTGCCTCTTGTATGCCAATTGGTTTCTCTCTTGGCTTCCTCTTCTGGAAAGTTTGAGATTCAGCAGCATAGCACATGTGTGTAAAGAATTACTCCACTCTGTCCCACAAACTGATGAGAGCTGCAGTCTCTTGCAGCTCTTTGGGGCCATCTAGGGGCAGAGGGCAGAACAGCCCAGAATCCTGTCCTCACCATAAATTCTCACCAACGCAATCACCATGGCAGAATAATAGTCATTTGCTTCAATCATAGAGACAGGCCTCAAAACAGCCCCAAATTGTGGGCAGAATAGTTCCCACAACAGTACTGTGTGTGCAGATTCACCCTCAACTGTAGAATGTCACTGACCATCACCAGCATCCAAGTCAATCTACTCCCGTGGTCTTTGTTTTTCTACGCAGGCAACTACGCAGCGCCTCAGATCCCTGACAGAGCTAACTTCTACCATTTTACAAATGCAGGCCACAATCCCTTAATGGAAACCACAATCCCTTAATTGGGGATAAGATGTATCTCAGAATTCAGAATTTCTCAGATTTTAAGAAGGTAAATAAATATGTGGTTCAACAACAGAAAATGTATGAGTCATAGTGAGTCTGAAGCAGCACCTCATAATCAAACACATGGATGTTTCTGTAGCAAAACTAAGGGACGTAACACTAGAAACACCTTCAAATAATTTCAATTCAAGTTTTACAAAAAAATCATGTTTGAAACTACTGAGGTTTGAATTTGAAATTGCAGATATTAGATTGAGCACCTGTCTTATCAAGTAAATGAATTGACTTAAATTGACCTGAAGAGTCAAGTGAGAGTCATCACTCCTGTTGTCCTTTAAGAAAACTGTTGAAGCTATGGCAAATCTTCAGGAAAGGGCCATCCACCGCCAGGGAAGCAGGGCTGCCTTCAGGATAACATCATTATCACCATCACCATGGTCATCATGCTCTCATTACCATCATCATCATCAACGTCATCTTGATCATCATTAATATATGTTAAGAACATACTATTATGTATTGTTTTATTTGATCATCACGTGAACCCTGTGACTTATCAAATAAAATTATCCAAGGTGTAAAAATGAGGAAAGTAGGACTGAGAGATGAAGAAATTGAACCAAGAGAATAAAGATAGTATTTTGCAATGCCAGGTTTTAAACACACATCTCTCTGAATTTAATATCCACTCTCCTAACTAGTATTCACATTGGCTACCTATATCCACTTGGTTTCCAGAGGAAGGCCACTTCTGTTTTTCTCTATCTTTGTCTCTTCCCCCAGGATCCTCTGGAGAACCAACTTAAGAGATTGCTGGTGTTCCCACCTAAAGGAGCCAACAAAGAAGTAAATAATAGGGTTGGCATTGCTATTCACACATGACAGGAGAAGCTATACTCTTAAAATAGGGCTTACTGTCTTCCTTATATCCTTTCTCAGTGAAAAAGGGACCAGTGCATGCTGAGGGGCAGCCTGCATACAAGGAAAACCAGGACTGTGAGCAGGATGACCACATACAGCCAGGTTGGCTGGTCTTCTGGGAGACACACTGGACTTGACTTGTGACTTCAGCAGGGTCAGGCTGGGCCCACAGAGAACCACAAGTAGAAAGACCAGCCATGTCACAACAATGATGTCAAACACATAACACAAATAACTATTGCCTAACAGTGAGGCACAGTGTTTGCTTCAAGAACATTCAGCAGCAGTATCAGGGTCCATGGTAGGTCACACATGACTGCAGATGAATGTCTTGGATGATAGAAGCTGTACCAGATGGGGCACAAGATAGACAGTCAGTGGTCAGTGCTTATCATGCTGAGGAGACTCGTGCCTGTGGTGTAGGAAAAAAACTTCACCACTGTCAGGAGTCTGTGGACGCAGATCTTTTCATCAGAAAAGCTATTGATGTATTGAAGAACTGAATGAGTGAACATAAAGAATAGGAGGAGAGAGTCAAACCCAGCTAGGTTGAGGATGGAGAGGGAGAAGACATTCCTCTGCAGGTGAAAGCTGGAGCACAATCCCAATACACATAAGCTCTCCCCAGGAAATCATGGGTCAACATCTCCACAATCAGGAGGCCATGGCAATCACTTATTGGACAGTCCTTGGAGGCCTGTGCACCTACATTCCATAGTGTGGTATCCGTACCCAAGTCCAGAAGTGCTGTATTCATACTTAGGAGTTCTTGGATGTCCCTGGGACCACACATAATAGTTGAGAACCTGCTATAATTCTGTGGTCAATATTGTCTTATTTTGTTCCCATTTCATAGATTTGAGTGTAGGGAAGGAAGGAATACAGAAAGGCAGACCAAAAAAGAGAAAGCCTCCAAATGACCTCATTCAAGTAACCCACAGTCAAAGTGGCCAGCACCACAGCTGTCAGGAGGAAGTTTCATGTCTTCAATCTCTTCCAGAGGGCACCTATGACCCACCCCTTTGCCAAGAATACCCCACCTTGAGATAGTGCTGTGTGCTATTGAGTCAATTCAAACTCATAGCAAGTGTACAGGACAGAGTAGAACTCCCCCATAGGGTTTCCAAAACTGTAATCTTTATAGAAGCAGATCCTTGCATCTTTCTCCTATGCAGAAGTGGTAGGTTTAAACTTCCGACCTCATGATTAGTAGGCAAGTGCTTAACCACTGTGCCACTATTGGTCCTACCCCAAGATGGAGCCAGGAAGATAAGGACTAATTAGAAAACACTATCTCTGGCTTCAAAGTAAAATAATTCTTAAGCAAATAATTTATCTTGCTTTCTTTCTTCTCACCAGAAATGGTGAACAGACTGTGCTGAAGAAGAACATCTCTGGGATTGAGAGATCTCAATGGTTGGCTCTTTACTTTCTTGGGAGGTGCATGCAGGAACTGAACATTCAGCATCAGTATCAGTATCTGCTGTCTGAGGAAGGTTTATAAAGATGCTGAACAGCCTGTCATTTACTGCTCAAGGCCTGGGCCCACTCAGAGATTACTCAGAAACCTGTAGTCACTTGTGTTAGACTGGGTTCTCCAGAGAAATAAAAACCGGCAAAACTTATGTATATATATATATATATACAGAGAGAGAGAGAGAGAGAGAAATTTATCTTAGGAAAATGGCTCACAAACATATAGAAGCTGGCAAGTCCAAAGTCCCTGGATCAAATGTCAAGCTGGAGGCTTTTCCTGGTTCCTGCAACCACAGGAGCCAAGAAGCTCAAGGCTGGTGGGCAGTACGCTGGCTGTTGACTCCAATGAATGATGAATCCAAGATCTCCAGGCTGAACAGTGGACTGTTCACTCACGGACTGTTGTAGGCAGCACAACGGAATCCCGATCCACAGAAGAATGTCTCTCTTCCCAGGATGTCCCTGGATATCCTGGAAGCAGGCCACACCCCTAGGGAAACTCCCCTTCAACAGATTGGCCACTCAGAAAACAGTCATCTGATCCATCATGAGAACAACCACACAGAACTGGGGTCCAGCCAAGTTGACACACAGCTCCAACTATTACATCACTGAACACATAAAATCTCACAAGATGTTTCTCAACTTTTCTTGACTCCACTCATGTATCTCAGCCTCTGCACCCACACCTATCTGGTGCCCCATCCTGTAAAGAATCACTGTCTGGGCAGCAATGTCAAGTAAAGGGACCCCAGATTAGAGGGCTTTTGTGACTGTTGTGGATTGAATTGCTTTTCTCCAAAATATGTGTTGAAACCCTAACCCCTATAACTTTGGATGTGATCCTGTTTGGAAATAAAGGTTTTCTTTTGTTATGTTAATAAAGTCATACCAGTCTAGAATGGATCCTAAGCCTAATCACTTCTGAGTTACAAAAAGAGCAGAATAGACACAGAGACACAACAGGGGAAAGACACCATATGAAGACAGGCATACATGACAGATGTATCCTCAGCCCAGAACACTAAGGGTTGAAGGCAGCTGCTAGAAGCTGAAATGGCAAGAAAGACTTCCCGTTAGGGCCAAATCCTGAATCCGGACTTGCAGCCCCTTGGACTGTGAGAAAATAAACTTTCCCACCTTGTGGTTTTTGTCACAATAACAAAACTTGTGGGTTTTGTTATACTCATAACACACACTCATATAACATTATAACTCATGTTTTTTGTCTCTTGTCAGGTGTGAGGATGGCTAGGACTGGGGGGCTAGAAAAACTCTATGAAGAGAGAGCACTTTTTTTTTTATTATTATTAGGATTTGGCTGAAGATTTACAGAGTAAATTCACTTTTCATACAGCAGTTCACATATACTTTGTCTCATGTCATTGACCAAAATTTACAATGCAGCAGCTCCCCT